ACTCCGTATCGAATTAATATAATTAATACTAATAATAACGTTAATAGTAAGTCAGAAGATAATAATAACGAAGAAACGTATAATAACGCCTAAGAGTATATTAAACCGCTAGTAAAAGACTACACTTAGGGAAAGACTCCTTCCTAGGTAATATACGAGATATACGATATCTTAACCTTACGAAGCTTCTTAGTAGTTAATTATTTACTATACGTATTACTCTTACTAAGAATAGACTCTCGTATAAGCTACTCGTACTTCTCGATTCTAGAGCTAATAAATACTATTTTATTAATTATTCTTTTCTTAAATCTCTTTCCTTCTTCTTAAAACATTTAATTCACTCTCTACTAAATGTAATTCCTATTAAAGGCTTTAATAGTATTAATAGTAGTACTATCAGTTACTATACGATACTTAATTTAATAATAGATCGTCGTATTTAGGTATTTACCCCCTTTCTTATTATTACTCTCGGAAACTATAGTATTATACTCGGAAGGACTTAGCTTTCGGAATATTAAGTACTCTTAGATACCTTTAAATAATAGATTATTTAGCTACTATATACTCCTTCTAGTAACGTTTATAGCTTTCCGATCGAGATTAAGGACTTATATAAATACTATACCTACTAGCGCTACTAATACGATACTAACGAATGAAACGAACGCCTTAATTAGTTCTAAGAAGCGTATAAGGAATAGCGAAGTATAGCTAACTCTCTTATTAATATTCGAGCTATTATTAACTCTATCTCTATTATTAAACGACTATTACTAGCTCGGAAGCGCACTTCAAGGGAGACTTATAGCTATAAAAACATCTAAAACTCTCCTCTAGAGAGTATTCTATAGGTAACTAACCCTTTATTACTACTGCCGATTAGTTAAGACTATTTCTCTAGCGTTTATACTACTTATTATAGATATAATAAGCCTAAGTGTTTATTATTTAAAGAATAAGAATAGAGTAATAAAGAGAAGTCTTTATACTCTAGAGAAGCTACTAATATACNTTAGATTTATTATCTCTACTTCTAGGATCGAGGTAGACTCTAAGAAGGTTAATATTATATAATCTTAGAATTACCCGACTATAGTTAAGGGCGTATAATCGTTCTTAAGCTTTTATAACTTCTACTAACGATTTATTAAGAACTACGGAATTATCGTAAAACCTCTTATATAACTTACTAAAAATAATATATTATTTCGTTTCGCTAGGGAGTATAAAGATACCTTTGATTACCTAAAGCACGCTCTCACTTCGGCACTACTCCTCTACTACTATTAGTAATATCTACCTTATATAATCGAAATAGACGCTAGTAATAGAGTAATAGCAGGTATACTATTATAATAGCACGACGAAGACTAGTTCCTAGTAGCTTACTTCTCTAAGACTATATTACTTACCGAGCTTAATTACGCTATCTATAATAAGGAAATACTCGCAATTATATAATCTTTTAATAACTAGAGATCTAAGCTCGTAAGCGTACTATATCTAGATCCGCGTTATTACTAATTATAAAGCTCTTAAGTACTTTATAACTTTTAAATAGCTAAACGTATAATAAGCCTAATAAGCTAAGCTACTTATAGATTATAACTTTATAATTACCTATCGACCTAGGAAGTATAATCTACTCGCTAACGCTCTCTCTCGTAGAATAGATAAATTAGACGATTAGAATAACGCTAAAAGAACTTAGCGTTTATAGTAGCTACTACGTAAAGACTAAATCGATCTAGTACTACTTATAAGTAACCTCCGGAATAGCTCCGACTCTATAGATAACTTTAAGCTTATTAACGCTTTAGAAGTCGCTAACCTATCGCTAGTCTTTTCTATAATATAGTAAGTACTTAAAACTAATCGTACTACGCTATTACTCTAAGCTTTACGGAAATAAGCTCTCTCCGCTACTCTTAGAAAACTAACTATAGAAAAAGATCTTCTACTCTATAAAGGAAGACTAATTATACTTAACGTTTCATACCTTTATATACTACTTATACGCGAAATATACGACTAATTAGAGACTACTTATCTAAGTGCAAAGAAGACCTTATAACTACTAGTATTATAATACTAGTAGTATAGAATCGCTTTAATTATTAACTAGTACTACTATAACTATTATACTTACTAACGAATTCAGGTACTACGCGATAAGAAACCGGGCCTCTTCTAACCTCTACTTATACTATCATGTCTATAGGAGTATATTATAATTAACTACTATAGCTTTAACTGCAATAAATATAGCTACGATAATATTCTTATATTTATCGACTATTTTAGTAAATAAGCAATTAGTATTCTATACCGAAAGACCTCTAATACGCGCGACCTTATAAAGCTTTACTTATACTATATATACTACTATTTCGGAGCTTTATTAATAATTACCTCTAATAGAGAGCTTTAATTCGTTTCCTATTTTTAGACTATAGTTATTATAATTCTTAGTACTAAAAGATAACTTTCTATAGTAGACTACTTATAAACAGATAGCTAAATAGAGATCTATAACTAATATCTCTAATATAGATTATGACTTTTTATCTCTTACTATTAAGACGACTAGTCGGAATTCTTACCTATTATAGACTATGCCTAGATAACTCTCCCTTACGAATCCCTTAGAGGTCTCTTACCTTTTGAAGTTATTTATAGATATATACCCCGCGTTAATTAGAATTAGAAAGACCTACTTAACTCTATTATACCTACTAATAAGTTAAATACTTAGTAAGCTCTAGATTACGCTAATTATCTACGTGACACTTAGACTACCGCTTAATTAAGCCTCTAATATATATAAGCTAAGATATCCTAATCCTATAATCGCTTATACTATAAAGTCGACTTTACTATAAACGACCTTATCTAGCTAGATATACGCTACTTTATAAGTACTCGACCTAATAAAAAACTCGACTTCCTAACTAATAGACCCTTCTATATAATTAAAAAGGTCAGAAGCTCTTATTATCTAGAGCTCCCTACTAGTATAAAAGTATATAACGTATTCCTTACTACTAAGTTACGAAAGTATCTAAACGACCTCTTACTAGGATAAACCTTACTACTACTACTACCTATTAATATCACTAGTAACGATAAATAAGAGATCGAAGATATACTTACGTGCCGTAAGTAGCGCAGTAGCTTCTTATACCGAGTTTCCTAGTTAAATCAAGACGTCGATCTCATATAGTACGACGCTATAGACATTAAATACGCTCCCGCTAAGCTATAATAATTCCACTTTAATAACTTAATATAAGCTAGACCTCCTACTAGACTACTTAATTAGCTAAAAGCTTTCTATAATAGAATTAATAATTACGACTACCTTAATAGTAATAAAGAAATAGACTAACGCTCGAGGGCGAGCTTTTTTCGGAGGGGGGAGTAATATAACAACTAGTCAGGTTTAGAGGTTTCTCCCTATTAGTAGAAATACTTACTACTAAGCGAGATTATACGAGTAGAATTTAGGGGCCCCTTTTTATATATATACTCCCCTTCTCCCTCTACTTCTTCACTCCTTAGTTATAGATTCTTAAGTGATTCTTACTACTTCATATTCATAGTAATATGAGATCTTATTACTCAGGTAGTTTTAAGACCTTTCTAGAGCAAGCGTCACACTTCAGCTATTAGATATAGGCGTTTTTCGGCCTTAGAAGCACTACTACTCTTAAGCTATTAACTCAGCTTTACAGAACTTAGATATTACTTATTTAATTACTTCTTTATTTAGAGACCTTACTAGTATTCGATAGAAAACTATATAACGTTATATAATTCAGAACGCTTTTAAGAATACTAGAATATAGCCTCTTAGCTATAAAGCTAGATTAAAGAGAATAAGATCGTTTAGAAAGCAGAAGTCAATTGAAGAGCTAGAGTTACCTTTACTACTACTTTCTATATTAGTAGATAGAGTGATCTCTATTGTAACTATAGTAGAGTCGTTTATTAGAAGAGATCTAACTTACTTATCTAACGATTCAAGAGAGATCTTCTAAAGCTCGATTAAGGAGGCTATAGTTTAACTCTATAAGGCTTTAATTACTTCTACTGATAATACTATACTTTAATAGAAGCTATAGTTAAGTGCCTAAGAGAAGAAGACCTCTCGACGATCGACTAAGTAATTAAAGTCAATTAGAGGTACTATAGTAAGTATAGCTGATCTACGACTTCAAATTCAAGCTAAAGCTGAAGCTAAAAAGACAGAAAATCGCTAGAGAGCTGATCGAGTACTTTCTTATACTATTAGAAAGTATAAGAAGTCTTTATTAAAAGCAGGAGTTCAAGTATAGAAGATAAATAAAGCTAGGAAGCTTAAATTATAAGAGTTACAGAAGAGAGGAGAGGTAGTAATACCTGATTCAGAGCTCTATCGACTAGAAAGAGAGCTTAATAAATAGCCTATAGTTGCTAAAACTATACTTTCTACTAAAGAAAGCTATCCTGATCTACTAGCTTCTAAGCTATAGTTTAAAGTAGATATTTTCGGTGATAGCGATCAAGATCAAGATATATAGATATTATATAAGCCTAGTAGAGCTATATAAGAGAAAGAGCTAGAGCATAATCGATATTTGGAATCATCGCTATTAGTAGCACTTATAGTAGAAAGCTCTAAGAGTAAAGATAATAGAGATTAATTTTGTACTAGAAAAGATTATATATTATTAATAAATTAGAGTAGTTATTTATTATTGAAATTAGAAGAATTTTAGTAGGGAAAGCACCTAAAATACTTTACTAACATAATACCGAGAGCGAGGCGTTTACATATGCGAGGCATTTGCATATCCCGACAGTAAGCGAGTCCCGAGCGAAACTGTCGGGGAACCGGCTAGTAATCCATTGATAAGGCATACAGGTAGGTAGGTACCGGTAGCCTATGAGAAACTTTACAAGGAAAAGGAGTAGAAAAAACTACAAAAGATAGCACAGCTAAAACAAAAGTCTAGTCTTATCCGGGGTCGAACCGGAGACCTGTTGCGATCTTTGCTGGGGCATGTAAAGCAAACGTGATAACCACTACACCATAAGACTGGAACTGTGGAATGTCGAGTGCTTAATCAAAAATATGAAATACTACGTGCTCAGCCCCATTTATTTTAGTGCTACCCGCACGAGATTCCGGGTGCTTTTGACTCACTCTACTTTTCAACACCTTTGATGCCATTACCTTTGTCACGGCTCCCTCTGTTGCGGCTTTCCTTTAATCTTTTAGGGTCGCTTCTTGTTAATTGAGTTCTCCCTAGTCGTGGCTTTTCCTTTCTTGCATTAATCAGTTCGCTCGCTCAGATTGGCGTGAGCCGACCACAACCAGCAAGGAGTAACAACATGTAATACGACCATCTCCTCGCTGCCTGCTTTTCATCACTAAGACTGAATCTACGTCTCCAACCAATAGAACTCTAGTTTCTCATTTCGGGTTTCTCGTCCTTTTCCCGAACACTGAGGCTTCAATTTGACTGCTCGTACGGTAGGTTCTTCATCAAAAGCTCCAAGTCCATACCCGAAGCCAGCTAAGCCAAGCCTAACACAAAGCGCCAAGCCAACAGTGGGCCGGCGCCTTTCACATCTCATTGGTTTACAAGTTCGCGCGTTGTTTTAGGTGTAACTTTGTTCATACCCAATACTTAAACAAGTACTCAAGACATCCGCTACATCGGGTGTTGCCTCTTTCACTGTCTCTTCATTGCTAGAGCGCTTGGATTGTATCGCATCGATCGTCCTCAAATAATCCCAAGCCTCCTACAGTAACCCTAAAATAGTAATCGTGCGTCCAGCTTGCAGCGACAATCACCATGAGCCATTCCAACGGCCATTCTCGCAACCGCGAGAATTCCGGATCAGCAACCGAGACACAAGCACTCCTAGCCAACTTCCTCCCTCAGGGCATTCATCCCGATGGCGAGAGCGGCCGTCGTGGCTTCAACCCGCGGCATTTCTTCCATGTCCTATGGCGGAGTTCAAACCAGGTGTCAATGGCAGTGAATCTGCTTTGGCCATTTAGTTTACTTGCAATCATCCTGAATTTTGCGACTCCCCATCTCGACCTCTGGGTTTTTGCTATCAGTTACATTGGGATGATTCCCGCCGCCAATCTACTTGGCTTTGCTGGTCAGGAATTTGCGAGGAAGATGCCCAAGGTGTCTGGAATTCTTATTGAGACTACTTTTGTATGTCTTTTGGCTCCCGAGTTTCGCATTCAGAGTGACTAAGCTAACTTATCCAAGGGTTCAATAGTTGAAATTGTTCTTTTCCTGATACTAATCATCAAGCACAAAGTCGGTTCCGATGATCACGCAGCTGAGCATGGCAATCTCATTCCAATCATACAAGCGGCAATTCTTGGCTCTATCCTGACAAACTTATTGCTTTGCTTGGGTTTGTGCTTTGTCGTGGGTGGCATTCGACAGCAAGTACAGACTTTTCATGCTGCTGTCAGCGAAGTCGGCAATGGTCTTTTGCTCATTGCTGGTTTTGGTCTGCTGATTCCGAGTGCATTTTATTCGGCGCTGAAAGGATCGGCAATTCCTCATGCGGCGCCTCATCCTCGTCATAGCTTCACGGATAAGAAGTTAGAGCACGACATACTTGGAATTAGTCGAGTCACATCCATTCTACTGATCATCGCTTTTGGCATGTGAGTACATAGTTCACTGGTGTGCCTTACGAAAATATTGATGGTTTCAGGTATATCTGGTATAATGCGCGAACGAATCACAGTATCTTCGACGAAGTTTTGGAGCAAGATGAACATAATGACCTCGACCACCATGAAGATGGTACGTTTCTCCTCCGATCTTTTCTCTGGGGAATGGAAGGCTTCAAATCTAGTTCTTGCAATTTTATAGCAGTCTGCAATATGTAAATGCAGTGTAGTCGTGCCTAATATAGCTGACATTGCCACAGTGGCGAAACCTAAGTTTACGTTGACAGAATGCGCAGTCGCTATCACCGGCTCCGTAGTACTCGTTACAGTACTGGCAGTATTCCTGGTCAATCGGATAGAAGACGTGGTCGAGGCTGGTATCCCGGATCAATTCCTGGGTCTAATACTTCTTCCTCTTGTTGAAAAAGCTGCAGAGCATCTGACAGCCATCGATGAGGCTTGGGATGGCCAGATGAACTTTGCTCTTTACCATTGCTTAGGCCCGTCCATCCAAACTGCTCTTTTTAACGCTCCACTAGTCGTTCTTGTAGGTTGGGTGATTGGCAAGCCCATGGACCTTAACTTCGAGATTTTTATGATTGTTTTGCTGGTCTTATCTATTATAGTCGTTGGGAATTTTCTGAGAGATGGAGAATCCAACGCTCTCGAAGGTGGTTTGTTGGTGGTAAGTCGGTTTTGAACTTGTGGCTATGAAGCTTGCTGATTCCGGCAGATCGTTTACTGCATCATTGGCACCACTGCTTGGTATTATCCAGATCCGGATGTCGCAACGTCAAATGGGTTGGCTTTGGCCAGCGGGTTGTATAAGTGAGCTGCCTTGAGATGGGTTCTTGCACTTGATACAGATCATGGGGCGACTTTGCTTCTATATCTGAATTACGAAGTAAGTGGTGGACAAATATTTGGATTGAGGGGGTGTAAAGATTTTCAGCTACCTTGAAAGTTTAGAGGAATATCGCGAGGATACCCTCAATGTCAAGAACTGTCATCTCGGCGCGAGGTTGGCGTATGAAGTTGGGGGTGGATTTGCAGGGGTTTCGCGGGCTATGAACACTTACCTTTACATTTCGCCGAAGGCAGTGAAAGTATCAGTATTTCTCCAACCAAAATTACAAGCTATCTGAAATCAGCTATACTTTCAATGAGAGTCATCAAAAACAAGGTAAGGAGAATCAGCCTGGCAAGAGGATGCGCTATTCGCGAAGGTGGCAAAGACCTCGCTTGCATATATCCATAACGAAAATGCGTTAAGGTGGACGCTCTGGACGCATGAGCCTCTCACGTGCTCTCCCGCATCTTCTCCGGACACTATAGTACAATCCTCAAGGCTATGAGCCACGGCGCTTTGGTATGGAACAATTCAGATACTCAAATATTGGCACCGGATGACACATACGACCATAGACTGGTGAGAACTGGGCATCCCGTCCGCTCTGCCATACACAAGCACCAGATCGGCAGATTAGTAGTTGGGTGGGTGACCACCAGCGAATACCTGCTGTTGTATGTTTTTTGGTATTTTCATTTTTGTTTTGCATTTTGTGCGCCGATTCTCTCTTTTGTGCGTAGATTAAAGGCTTTATTCACCCACTCTTTTGCTGCTTGGCTGCTTGGCGGTCTGGCTGTTGATTAAGCGAGTGTTTATAATAAATGTGGATGTCTGTCAGGCTAGCATTTGCTACGAGCTGCTTTAGAAAGTCTACGTGATAGATGAACTTGATGTTTGCTATTTTTTTTTTTTTGGTAACATCTGCGTGCGATTGTTTGTTTGTTCTTTTACAAGGGGATCAGTGCTTCGGAACTGTAAATCCAATTATTCCTTGTACTTTTGTGTTCTTTGGGCCAATTCACCTGAAAACCTATTGCTATTAACACTTGAAGAACATATCACAGAAAAGGCTAGCGAGACCTTGTTTGATGACGAAAAGCATTTCTTCGTATTAGTTCTACTACAATCGCGTGAAGTCAAGACTGTGGATTCGTCTCCCTATTCAACCCTCAACGAATCCTAATTCACACGATTCGTCTTTTCGGAACAGTAGTCTCCATCTTCGATTCGGTCTCCCGTAGTTGAAATCATACTAACACGCCCGCCACACACTTCCCTCAGTCCGCGGCATAGCACCGCAATGGGCGGCGGCTTCAAAAAAAAAAGTGCATTCGTACCGACAAATGTGACCAAAGCATGGTTTCTGACCTATCTTCATACTCGGTAGATGGCGGCTTCTATGTAATCATGAATGATCGTATCGGTCATATGATCAATCCCGAAGGATTCTCTGAATTCGTTCTCACGATATCGCGAGAGGAGAGGAGAGGAGCCATAAATACCCCATTACAGGCATCTCACTTTTGGATCCGAATTTCTGCGTCTCAGTTGTCTCGATATCCGCAAATTCTTCTTTTCCAAAGAATTAGGCTTTGGTGTGCCCTTCGTGAAAACTAGTTGGATCTTTCAGATTACCGCTCAACAGATGAACTTATCGAATTTTCTGCAGTGCAGGTAGTGGGCGATGTCATAAATTTGAAGTCTGCCATGCCTGTCGAAATGGGACCAGCTACTTTGGATGGAACACCTAAAATTTTGATAAGCTGATGAAGAAGTGCCGAGGGATTTGGTCGATGGCTGTTAAGATTGCGAAGACATTCGATGCCCTATGAAGTAAGACCTGTGTGAAATCTCGCTTCTTCTCAGTATCTCAGGACCCTACTTCCCATGATTCTTCGGGTCTTACCAATAGCTTCGAAGACTATCTTTAACACTCCAATCTTTAATCATAAGTAGAGTCTAATAGCGGAGGCACCCTCTAAATGTCACCGTATATTTCGCGAGGCTGGGTATCAACTGTAACGTTAATTTCATTACCTGGCACAGATACTGGGCGACTTCATCCACTGATCATCGATGCCGCTCGGCCCAGCCGTTCAGGCGTCATGGTGTAGAATCGTACAAGTAGTCATTCGAGTGTTGAAAGCAATAGGCCAGCCCAGATTCTCGCTTAAAAGCTTCAACAAAGAAACACCTCACAAGCAAGTGAAGCTGCCTGTCTGTTGCATATATCCGTATCAGCATACGATCAATGAGCTAATTACATGATTTAATCTATGTAAAATTACTAACAATTATGTTGAATCGGCCAAATTTAAAATTTGAGAAAAGGCGAATTAATTCTCGACGAAGTCGTTTCTGTTGACTTTTCACTTCCGGTGACACGTCCAGATTGATCTCACTTCTGCAGACTCTTGCTTGAATGTAAATCTGCGCAAGGTGATTTTTTGAATATTGATGCCCACAGACCCAATCAGCTTGATCCGGAGCCGGCAGCCTTCCGATGAAAGAGCGATAAATATGCCTCCCCTCATCCAT